AAAAAAAAAAAAAAAAAAAAAAAGAATTTTAAAAAGAACCATTATTCCCTCCATACATCCTCAAAGATTCTAAAGCAAAAATTCACTATAGAGAAATACTTTAAAGGAGTGGATTCCTAACTAGAATATATACTTAATCATTCAGTGACTTACACTTTCCCTTTCACAGGATAACTATATAGAGCAATTACAAATGCATTCTCATAATAGTTTAATTATAGGATCTTTAGAAAAAATAGTACCAATAGTTTTTAATAAAATGTCACATTTGTCAATTTTGTATGTAAAATAACTTCTGACACTATCATCATATTCTTAACTATGGTTTACTTGATAAATGATGCCTATAGGAATTAATTTCTAAATTATTCAAAATTCACTTGTTCAGCTTTAGCTAATTTCAGGGCAATAAAATCTGAATTTTTATGGACTCACCATTCAGACTTTTAAATTTTTTTTTTTCAACGTTTTTATTTATTTTTGGGACAGAGAGAGACAGAGCATGAACGGGGGAGGGGCAGAGAGAGAGGGAGACACAGAATCGGAAACAGGCTCCAGGCTCTGAGCCACCAGCCCAGAGCCTGACGCGGGGCTCGAACTCACGGACTGCGAGATCGTGACCTGGCTGAAGTCAGACGCTTAACCGACTGCGCCACCCAGGCGCCCCTGGACTTTTAAAGATAATATTCATCATTATCCTCTTATAAAAAAACAAAATGTATTATCCCTTCTTTATAGTATCCAACTATAATGAAATGTCCAAATTTTATAATAAAATCTTGTGTTCTATAAGATATTCCTTAAAATTACTTTGAAAACATTATAAAGCAATTAATAAATTTTTTTCACATTAAAACATGATCATTTATATCCACTAGAACAGAGATCATTTGCTTTCCCCAACATAGATAGTATCTTTCCTTGAAAATCAACCACCTCTCACTTTCAACTCTTTCAGTAAAAGGACCTACCAAAGTTAAGGCCATTGAGAACTGCTGAGTATTCTAATGCTAAAGAAAATAAATGCTGTCTTTTATTTCTACCGGGTTGGCAGTAAATATTTTAGCCTTTGTAGAGAGTCTCTGTTGCAACTAATTCAAATCTGCCATCTGCAGTGTGAAAGCAGCCATAGTCAATAGGCAGAAGAGTGAACATGGCAGTGTTCCGATAGAATTTATTTTGATAAAAGCAGGTAATGGACCCATGTGTCCACTATCATTTGCTGAACTTTAGTTTTGTCTGCTTCCTCTGAGTATGGTTCTCTCAAACTAAATATCTTTTGAGTATCTGCTACATGTGGAGCACCGGAGATTAAACATTGAACAGGAGGGACATGGTCCATGCCCAAATGTAGAAGGAAAGCATACAAAATATGTAATCAAATTCCCACACTGTGACAAAATTTTCAGTGTAGCTAGCCAACCCTTTACTTTCTTCCTAATATTTAATCAGCAGAAGCTCATTTTTTTAATATAATTTGTTACACTAACTGGATCTTATATTCTGAACTGTTTAAAGTAAAATATTCACTTCAGAGAAATCAACGACTACTATGGTAAATTCAGGCAGAACCAGAGATTTTCCCACTAAAGTGAATTCTGCTTATAAAAGCATTTGTTGGAATGTAACTTAATCTTCTTCATTTAAATAAAATACAATTCCTCCAACCTACCTCTTTCACCTTACCAGAATCAATAACAAAGACAACATCATTGACTGTGATGCTGGTTTCAGCAATATTGGTGGAAAGGATCTGCAAAATGGAATGTTATGTTACAGTTAATACGAAAACAGGACCAATGACTAATAAAATGGACAAAAGAAGATTTTATAAAGCTTACAATTTTTCGAACACCAGCAGGTGGGTTTTTCAATACCTTCTTTTGATCAGATGTTTGCATATTTGAATGAAGCATAAAGACTTGATATCTGTTGACAATGAAAGGGAAAATACACTATGGTACCTATCTGTTACTTAAAGCAGCAAATATAAAGCTTTAGCTTTTACCTGTGTGTGTTATCAGCAAACCGCTTGTCATCAAACAGGATACGATCCCGCAGTCCAACAATTTCATCATATCCAGGCAGGAAAATTAATATTGCTCCTTGGAGAAGAATAATGTTTTTAACAGTAAACCTCTGGTTTTACAAACCAGAACCAATCAACAGAACCATCTATAATGAACTCTATCACGTGTTTTTATGTACCAATAAACTGTGACACTTATGATGTTTAAGAGATTATTTATGCAATACTGCCAATGGAATTACACAAAAATCTGTACACACAACATATTAATTTTGAAATCGAAGTATACACTGTTGTTCCAGTTATTTTAGACAGTAGTTATTTACCAGCATCGCAACCATGGCAGATATTGTATAGAAGGTGCATGATCAAATCCAAGTCTACTTTTTCATCATCAAAACTGTGATGATAAGCTTTCAGGAGCTCTCTGTCTTCTGCACTGAGGTCACTCCCATTTGTGTGTACCAGAGAACTTTCATCTAGATTTCCAAATTCCAGTGAAGCACTAGGAAAAAAAAGACAGAAACAACAACAACAAAAAAAAACCACAAACTCAATTTTCATCAAAAAAGAGTAATCCTTTAAGGCCAACAATTCCCATGATATCCTTCTTCAAATTTTAACTACACCCTAAATAAAGAGGGTAAGTGATACTTAATGTCCCAGCTACAATTCATGTTTTGGTTTACAGTACATTATCCAAAGTAAAATTTGTCAGTAAGTGATTTTTGAAAACACAATCTGAAGACATTTCTCCAAAGACAATATACGAACAGCCAATAAACACACTGAAAAGATGTTCAACATCATTAGTCATCAGAGAAATGAAAATCAAAACCACAATGAATACCACTTCACACTCACTAGGAGGACTACAATAAAAAAAAGACAAGAAAGTAAGTGTGGAGAGAGGGTGTGGAGAAACTGTAACCATCATACATTGCTGGTGAGAGCATAAAATGGTGAAGCCACTTTGAAAAAGAATATGGCAGTTCCTCAAAATGTTAAACACAGTGTGACCACACGTCCCAGCAATTCCACTTCCACTGCTAGGTATATAAACAAGGGAAATGAAAATACATGTCCATATAAATATGTGTACACAAATGTTCATACCAGAATTATTGGTAAGAGTCAAAAAGTGGAAACCCAAATGTTCATCAATTGATGAATGGTTAAACAAATCGTGATGTATCCACAGAGTCAGAAAAAGAACACCTGCTACAACATGGATGAACCTTGGAACACATTATGCTAATGAAAGAAGCCAATCACAAAAAGACCAAGTATGATACCATTCCACTTAGATTAAGTGTACAGAATAGACAAACCTACAGAAACAGAAAGTACACTAGGTGTCGAGAGCTGGAAGAGTTGCGTTTTTTGGGGGGAGATGGGTAATGAAAACGTTCTCAAAATTGATTGTGGTAATGACTGTGTAACATGGGTGAACTAACTCATGTGGTATGTAAACTTTACCATAATAAAACTTAAAAGACACAAATTTTCAATCATCATTTATATTCAACAGGTTGTTCACTCTTATAAACAATACTCTGAAGAAAAGTCTATGTTAAAAAAACAAACAAACCACAATTCTACAGGTACCAGCTTAACATGACTGCTAACTTGGTAATTCTATTCTAAAAGCAGATTGATTTCACTACTTTCCAAAAGCCCAGAATCAGCATAAATTAAATAATTGCTTGCTTCTTCATCCTCTATATAAAACTATAAACTACTGCCACCACTAGTAACTAGCAATAAGATTTCTAGGAAGTTCAGTTCAGCCCATTTCTCTTAAAGAGCTTAGCAGAAAATGAAGCCTGATCTCAATAGGGAAAATATTAAACTTAAAATTGTAGTATTTTAAATTTAAGATCCTTTTTCAAATACTCCAAGTTTTTTGGTTTTTTACTTCTTAACAGGTAAATGAGGAGAGGAGTATGTTCTTTGTTTAAAGCTCTAACTTCAAGGGAGCCTGGTTGGCTCAGTCAGTTGAACACCCAACTCTTTTTTTTTTTTTTTTTTTAAATTTTTTTTTCAACGTTTATTTATTTTGGGACAGAGAGAGACAGAGCAATCTAACGGGAGGGCAGAGACACAGAATCGAAACAGGCTCCAGGTCATGCTTTACCATCAGCCGAGCCTGACGCTGGAAGGCTCGGCACTCACGACCGCATGGTGAGATCGCGACTCCGGGTCGGTCGGACGCTTAACCGACTGCGCCACCCAGGCGCCCCGAACACCCAACTCTTGATTTCAGTTCGGGTCATGATGTCATGGTCGTGGGATGGAGCCCCATGTCGGGCTACATACTGGGTGTGGAACCTGCTTGAGATGCTCTCTCTCTTTCCCTTTGCCCCTCTCCACTAGCACTCTCAAAAAAAACCCACTAACTTTACATATCAATTATCAATAATCCAACACACGTTTTATTAATAAATTGCATTTTAAATGTTTAAAATTGGTGATTGATAATGTCATGATCTGTGGACTAAAAAGAAAGCCCAGGTAGCCAGGATAATTAGAATATTATCCAGATAACTCCTGTACTTGGTAATATATAGTGTGTACTGAGATACTTCCTAGCACCCTAAGAAGCATTCAAAGTGAAGCATTCAAAGTATTAGCACTAAAAGGACTGCAAGTTCTGGGTGCTATTAACTGAAATGACAACAAATCCTGCCATTGCTAAGAACTTTGTCACTCTAAACGTCATTAGCATTTAATTGAAATTAAAACGAAAAGACTAATTTCATACTTCAAACATACTTCATCTAATACCTAAGACTATATCTATAGAATTAAATACAAAAACCCAACTCATATAAAACATTTATATGTTCTTCAATAAAAGATGTTTTGATATATTTTAACTTCAAATTCCATTTTTTTCACTTTTGATTCTTATAGGTTGAAGACCGATAGATGCTATCCACGTATTACTAAACATGTTTTCTTCAGGTACCTTTTCCTTTAATAAAATATCTTTCTCTTTTCTTAAGAGATCTAATCTAAAATCTACACAATCTGGGGGCGCCTGGGTGGCTCAGTTGGTTAAGCGTCTGACTTCGGCTCAGGTTGTGATCTCGCAGTCCGTGAGTTCGAGCCCCGCGTCAGGCTCTGTGCTGACAGCTCAGAGCCTGGAGCCTGTTTCAGATTCTGTGTCTCCCTGTCTCTTTGACCCTCCCCAGTTCATGCGCTGTCTCAGTCTCTGTCTCAAAAATAAACATTAAAATCTACACAATCTGACCTAAATTTACCTAAAACCTTTAATTACCAAAATGAAGGCTTTGTTTCATAGGACTGTGAAAAGTATTGTCTGATTCTTCTTTTTTAAATCAAAGTAGAATCAGTTAAGGAGGATCAGTAGCACAGGAGGTAGACTGCAGTAATAGGATTAATTAGGTAGCCCCCATGAAGGTAAGATTTAAACAAAGATATGTGTTCTGTTCCTGTTTTATAACACATTGTTTCTCTTTCATGAATATTTTCTATTAGTTTTTGAAGTCTTCTTCTGGTCACTAATGCTTAGTCCCATCCAAGTTCCAGGTTTTTTGGTTGCTATTGTTGTCTGTTGGATTGTGGGTGCTTTTTCCCCTCAAAGATTCCCAGTGATCAATCCCCAACATTTTGTTCATCTTTAAAGACAATGAAAAAAAAAAAAAAAAAAAA